GTTGCTATAGCATGAGAACACACATACAGGATCTAATTATACCAATGAATCACTAACTCATTGTTTTAAACAAAAGGTGATAGTTATATTGGGTATACATGATCATATACTTTAATGTGAATTACATGGCTTGCAAGAATTTGCAGAGGTCGTGTTTAGTTCCCTTAATCTCCTGACAGGGAGAGCGTATAGTAAGGGTTCTAGCCTTCACATTATAACCGTAATAAAACAAATATGTTTTTAGGTTATTAGTACATCCGCATGTCATTATAAACGACAACTGTGTACTTACACTTCCCTTTCTTTCATAAAGTGACGGTACCACTTGAAAGTCCAATTCAAACTATTTTCGAGTAAAGATAGTTATAAACTAGGGAAAATATACATTCTTACAAACGACAAACGGAACAGTCGAGTCTAGCACATAACAGAAGATGCCTTGGTAGAAGGTTACGATTAAAAGATAGGACCATAATGCTAGCCTTATGATTCCTTAATGTATACACCACAGGATATATATATATATATACTAATAGGGCCCGATAGGTAATAGGATGTGTGCTCTTCGCTTCATTTCCTGTTCCTTGTTTGGTTGTGGGCTTGGAACGAATTCACCCAATCTATTTTCTATCCGATTCTATATATATGTATGCTTAGTATACATTAAGTCATCATAAGGGTACCAGGTATGGGTCAGGTTATAGGACACAGAGTCAAAGCACAGTCTTTCTAGTACAAAACATACTTTCAGTACTTTTGGTATACAAAACTAGAAACTTCCCAGTAAAGGGTTTAATCCATTTTATTAAACCAGTACAATTTAAAAGACCTTAGGTGAGTAACTCTATAATACCTTAGTTTATACATCATGTTTATATATATAACTAATACCCAGTAGGTAGTTGGATGTGTGCTTTCCGCCTTACTTCCTGTTCCTTGTTTGGTTGTGGGCTTAGGGCAGATTCGCTCAATTAACTTTCTATCCGATATTAGATTATATATAGCAGTATAAACTAAGCTATTATAAAGGTAGTCACTGTGGCCACTATTTTACTATAAGAAATAAGGGTTTTCTTAAAGAACTTCTTCATTAGATATAAAGGAAACATTACAATTAACTCCATGAGTAACAAGTGATTACGCCAGGGTTATATATGACGATGATCTAACAACCAATGGAATGTGTGCTATCCGCCTTAATTTCTGTTCCTCGTTTGGTTGTGAGCTTGAGGCAGATGCGCACAATCGATTGTTTGTTTACTCTGAGTCTTATATAACTTGTACCCACTTAGTACCCATAGAATGGGTTGTAGTGTCATTTTACTTAAACTTCCATCAAAGTAGGAAATATATGATTTTCTACAGGAACATGCGAACTTTTCAAAACAGAACTAACAACTTACACCATTTTTACATATACATTTTCAACAACACCTTACAACTTACTCACATCACAAAAATCTTATGAACTCACCAGCTTAATTGCTGATCAACTCTTTCAAATAACTTGTATTCTCAGGAGACTATTAGACAGATGCTCGTCCTGGGAATTCAGAAAATGGAGCATCATAGCTTCAAGTATTGTTTTGTTATTTGTTTATGAATTCTATGTTTTGTGAACACACACATTGTAAACACTTTCTTTCGAAATGAAATGGTTGTTCTTTACTTGCTTACCATATACATATCTCGTGATACTAAACATGACGTCCTCCACCCCCGAACGATTCCGCCGTTCCGGTTTTGGGGTGTGACAGTAATCATTGAGTAGTTCCACCCATCGTCGTTGTCTCATGTTAAGTTCCTTCTGATTGAATATGTGTTTGAGGATTTTGTGATCAGTAAAGACTGTGCAATTCATACCATACAAGTAATGCCTCCAGATCTTTAGAGAAAAAACCACTGCTCGCAGTTCGAGGTCATGTGTGGTATAGTTGACTTCATGGTTCTTAAGCTGTCTCGAGGTATAATCCTTTCCCTCGCTGCATAAGAACGCAGCCTAGCCCTTGGTTGAACGCATCGCAGTAAACTACAAAATCTTCCGTCTCTTCTGGGAGGGACAAGATTTGTGCATTGCAGAGGGCTTGCTTTAGTTTCTGGAAAGCAGTTTCTTGCTTCTCTTCCTAATTGAAAGTTACACCCTTCTGAGTCAGGGTGGTGAGTGGCTTCGCGATCTTTGAGAAGTTTTGGATGAACCTCCTGTAGTAGCCAGCGAGACCTAGAAACTGACGAATCTATGTTGGCCTTCTTGGGGTCGCCCATTTTTCGATAGCCTTGATCTTGGAGGTATCAACATGTATTCCTTCCTTCATGACTACATGACCTAGGAATTCCACCTTACGAATCCAGAATTAACACTTCAAGGAATTCGCATACAATTTCTCTGCCCTTAAGGTTTCCAAGACTTGTCGTAAATGTTGGTTGTGTTCTTCCTTACTTCCGGAATAGACTAGTGTATCGTCAATGAAAACTATAACGAACTTGTCAAAGTAAAGTCGACACATACGATTCATCAAGTCCATGAATAATGCAGGTGCATTCGTTAGACCAAAGGGCAACACTACAAATTCATATTGACTGTAGTGAGTTCTAAAAGCGGTCTTTAGAATATCAGCCTCCTGGACTCGTAACTGTTGGTATCCTGATCTCAGGTCAATCTTGGAGAAGAAACTTGCTCCTTGAAGTTGATTTAAGAGGTCGTCTATCCGTGGTAAAGGGTATCGGTTCTTAACGGTAAGCTTGTTTAGTTCGCGATAGTCTATGCACATTCGGAACGATCCATCCTTCTTTTTCAAGAACATGATCGGTGCTTCCCAAGGTGAGAAGCTTGGTCTAATGAAGCCTTTGCTGAGAAGTTCGTTTAACTGGCTGGATAGTTCTTGCATTTCTGATGGTGCGAGAAGATACGGGGATTTAGCTACGGGGGTAGCTCCGGGAATCAAGTCGATTTAGAATTCGCCTTGGCGTTCAGGAGGAACTCCTGACAGATCTTCAGGAAATACATCAGGGAAATTGTAGACTTCAGGAATATCCTTGATGTTTTTCACTTCTTGTGTCTTATCTACCACGTGAGCTAAGAAGGCGCAGTAATCTTTGCGAAGATACTTCTAGGCCTTGACGCAAGAAATGATATGAAGATTGGCACCGGATTTATCGCCATAGATAACAAGAATTTCGTTACTTGGCAGATTCAGACGAATGGCTCTCTCAAAACGTAGGATATCAACATGATGAAGACTTAACCAATCCATGCCGATTATAATCTCAAAGCTTTTAATTTAGACTGGCATCAGGTCAATTTGAAATGAATGGTTGTTTAGAGTAAGTGTGCATCCTATATATATATATATATATATATATATATATATATATATATATATCATTTGTGCTCTCGGTCTTTCCATTTTCCATATCTACTGTGAATGTGTCTTTTAATGTTTGAGGATTTTGTTCTAGTAGATGTTTGAATTTATGGCTCACGAAGCTTTTCTCCGCACCACTATCGAAAAGAATGTGTGCGTAAGAATTGTTGAGAAGAAACGTACCGCTAACCACGTTAGGATCTGCCATCGCTTCTTCATGGCCAATTGCCAGAATTCTCCATACACCACCAGCACTCTTTAACTTTGGGCAGTTTCTCTTGAAGTGCCTAGTTTCGCCAAACACATAACAAGCTTGACTGCCTCCTGCGCCAGGGACTTGTCAGATGGGTTGAGCTGGCATTTTAAAAAAACGGGTGGTGTGCCCCTTCTTGTTACAGTTTCTGTAGTGCATTTTCCTACAAACTCCCGTGTGATGGAAGTTGCACTTACTGTACTTTGGAAAAGTTCCAGCATATAGATTCGGGGTTGCTAGATTAGTGGAAACAGTGGTAGGAGTAGAAGTAAGAACAGCAGTAGGAATAATAGCAGTGTGTACTGCCACAGTTTGCCACTTTTTAGAAGGTTCTTGCGATGATTGTGCCATTCTTTTATTCCAGAACATATTTTTTGCTGCCTCCTTCTTTGGGTTTTTCAGGAATAGCTGGCATGGAGCCTTGACGAACTCCATGATCTACAAGTGTCTGTGTCAGACGCATAGCGCTATCAAATGTAAGCGGGTTGAAGGAATAATGTTTCCTTGAGTCGGGGGAGTTAACCCGCAGATGTATATTTCTACTTTCTTACTCTCTGGGGTGACCATCCTGGGACACAGTAAAGCCAGCTCACTAAATCTGGCAGTATAAGCAGCAATATCGGAGTCCTTCATCGTCAGACTCCAGAGTTCCTGCTCTAACTTTTGTATTTCACCGCGAGGGTAATATTCTGCCATCATCAGAACCTTTAAATCTTCCCAGCTAATGGCATTGGCGTCTGGGAGGGATAACGACTTGATATAGCCTGTCACACCCCCGGCCGAGGCGGCGGAACACGCCGGGCTGTGCGACTAAGTTCATGGATCACAGGCAAATTGAATATATAGCACAAGTACAACAATAAACAAAATAGCATTCATGTTCCATCTTGATATTTGAATACAATGTTTTTTACAAATAATAATAATAATAATACATGAATTGCCTCAACAAATAGGCATTTAATACAACAGTAAGTAAACTAGGTCACCTGTAATCCAATCTGTCTTGAATGCTTGTTTAGTGTTTTCCTGAGAATACATGTAGTTTTGAAAGTCAACACAAATGTTGGTGAGTGTCACAGGTTTTCTGCTAACGCAGTAATACTTTTGATAAGTCTAAAAAGTATTATCTTTGTATGTATAACGATCGTTAAAAACAGCATTTGCAAAGAGTCTTTAAAAGCCAAGAATGTATTTTGATATGAGTAAATTCATGCTTTTAACATGTACTTGTAATAACTCATTGAAAGTCAAAATGAATGCTTTGTATAAGTAACTTCCATACTTAAAACTGCGTTTGTAATGAATCTTTGAAAGCCAAAACGTTATGTTCGATAAGTAATTTCCATACATAAAATGTACTTGTAATGACTTCTTAAAAGTCAAAATGAATGCTTTGTATAAGTAATTTCCATACTTAAAAATATACTTGTAATGACTTCTTAAAAGTCCAAATGAATGCTTTGTATAAGTAATTTTCATACTTAAAAAAATATACTTGAAGGCAACCAAACCTATGGTTGTAGTAAGAGAGAGAGAAATTCGAGTTAATGTTTTTAGTGAGTTCTATAATCGAGATATGGACGAAAAGTACCCCTCCCTACGACGCTTCATTGGACGTCGTAGTAACGATCGTAGACACATATCACCTGCTACGATTGATCAGTCGATGGTTGTAGCTAGCAACCGCAGGTGGGGTTGTCGACCCCATATAGATCTATACATATGTATCTCGCTCCGAAGATTAACGATTATAGCAGTGTGGGGCAGGCTAAGTGATTAAACTCAGCTAATGAATAGTAGCGTCTCACTCAAAAACCATTAACGAAAAGTTTGTGAATAACTCTCAGCCCTAACTTAATTATAGTTAAGTATTGGGCATAATGAATTTCGTAGTATAGCATTTGTAAAAGCCGAGTATGGTTGACGTATTTATAAAAGTATAAATTACTCGCTTTTATAGAGATTATGTATTTCAACATAACGATCTTGTAAAAGTGTGTAAAGCCTTTTGTATAAAAGTATTCATGGGTGTAGTCTTTGAAACTTTTAAATACTGTAAACCGGTAGTATGCATATCATATAAGACTAAAAATAAATGTTTCAAATTAATGAACATGTATACATGTATAAACTTTTATACATATAAACATATAAATATACATGCATAGTAATATCTTGAACCATTGAAATACTACACAGTTTCATAACGTACTCGTTATAATATAAAAATCATAAAACTTTGTATCGTGTAGTATTTGTTGTGTGAAATGGTTATTTCACGATAAAATAATCATAACATGTATATGAAAAGTTTTTACTAGTTTATTTTTAACAATATGGTAAATTGTTAAATAATAATATTTTTATAAACTATGTTTATTGTATTTTCATATAAAAAATAATATATTTGTATAAACAAAACATATAGGCACATGTATTCCCCCCTGAAATAATTAAAATATTGAAAAGGGGCCGTAAGCACTCACCCTTGAAGCGTGAGTTTCAATCGTTCGAAGTCGGTTCCTTTTGAGAAACTTGTCGTGAAAGTTGTTATGTGATGTTCGTTGCTCTTAAAGCGAACCACCGAGTTTATTTTTATTTCCTAATAAACCAAATGGTAGTTTCCGTATTAATTATTAAGTATATGGTGGTCTTTCATAAAATAAATAAACTCTAGGACTTGATTTTGCCAAAATCATACTTCAGGGACTGATGTTGAGAATTATTCTCAAGACAGAGGTTAATCATGTGCAATCGAAACTATTTTAGGATTTTAGGACTTAATTTATTAAGTTTTTCTGAGGAGGGACCAATTATGTTTAATTTTAATGAATGTTTGATTCTTGGTTTGACCTTTGACCGGGTCAAAATCAAAACCCATTTGTTTTAGCGGAGCTCCATGACCGATCCACACAAGTGGATCCATTTACAAAAAGGATCAGGGCTCTTACCCCGTTTCCAGTTGATTAACAGGCTCCAAGAACAGAAGAGTCGTCTTCTTCCTTTCACTTGATCGGGAACGAGAAAGGAACGTAACGCCGTCGAAGCAGCGCCGATGGGCATCGATCGTGGGTGGGTCGGAGAGGCTACTCCGGGGTTCATCTGATTCAAAGAAATAAGGAGGCGACGATGGTGGTTCTTGGCCCGGTGATGGTAAATCCATCAGGGGGAGCATCGTCGGTGGTCGACGAGACCAAAGAGGAGGGAGGGAGAAGCAGCGATGGTTCGTCGGTCGGCTTCACAAACCGATGTGGTCTCCTGGGCTCGATAAGCCGAAGCAAAGAAAGGGAATGGAGCAGCAGCGAGGGTCGATGTGGTCCGAACAGATGAGGGCGTGAAGAAGCAGCGATTGAGGAAGGAGGTTCCTTCGGTGCTTGGCTGGACTGATAAGGAAAAAGAAATGGAAGCATCGGGGTGGGGCTGTTGCTCGACGTTCAACAGGTGAGTAGATGGGGTTATGTGCTCAGGTAATTCCTTGTTTCTATCTTCTTTCTGTTTTGGTTTGGTTGGAATAAGGTATGTGTTTGGCTGGAATCGATGGATTAAATGGGACGTTTGGTTGTTTCGTTTGACAGAAAAGAGAAGGAAGAACAATGGTGAAAAGAGAAGGAAGAATGAACTGGAAAATGTGGTTCTTGTTGCAGATAAACACGAGATCGAGAACAAAAATCGATCTTGGCTGGGAACAAAGATGCAAGCAGATACAAAGGATCGATCAATTTTTCACTGTAAGGGTTTAATTTTTGTTTGATTGTTTGTGATTAGTATTTGATGAGTAGAAACAATACCAATACAGTGTTTTCCCTTACCTGTGAACTGTGTGCGAGCTGTAATGCAGGTGAATGAGCTGTAATGCAGGTGAAAGAAAAAACGTGGGAAGGAAGGGAAAAAGGGTGAAGTGTAATTTGAGTGTTCAGTTGTCCAAAAAGAAATGAGTGATAGTTTTGATGGAGTGTTCTCTTGCGTGTAGTTTTGGAGAAATCTAATAGCTGTTTATGTTTATTTATTTGTATTTATTTATTTATTTATTTGTATTTGGTCTTTTATGCACAATACATAATCTTATGTGTATAGTGTACATGTATTTAAGTTTTCATATATAAATATAATTATATATTGTAAATTTCAAACATGTATATATGTAGTGTTGTCATCATATTATAAATGTATACATATATATACATTGCGGTTATTTGATGTTCATTTATAATACATGATGTATATTTTATAAAAACCATAACAATTACATCTTTAATTGTTATAAAAATATGTTCCCTTACATATGAATATATGCACGAATTTTAGAAATATTGTGTCATTTCCACCTTCAAAATTTCCATCAATCGGACTGGATTTATATACTACCAATAATTGAAATTAAATTGAAGTCAATAGTTCAAGGTTCCGTGATTTGTAAATCTGAAAACATTTGATTTTTTTTTTCAACTTTTATAAATAATTTTTACTAAAAATATTTCAAATATAAAATTAAATATTAGGCTATAGCCTAAGTCCAAAAATGCTTTCGGAATTTCCTTTTGAAGTGTGCAAGTTTCTCAACGATTAGAAACGATTTTGATATTTTTTAAGAAAATCAGTATTATACTGATTTCAGATTCTTAAAACGGTCATATCTTTTGCATATTAATTCCGTTTTGGACGTTCTTTGTATTTTCATAAACAGGAAAACACGTACTACCAGACTAGAGTGTTTGTATTGCTCAAAACTGCTTAACAAAATTTCAGTTTTTCAGTCGCGTTAACTAAGGTTGCAGTTTAAGCTATTTGATTTGCTTGTGAGATTACATATTTGGAAGTAAGATACCATCTAGTATCTTATAATAGTTGAAATAACTCATTTATTTTATGTTAGATTCACTAAAACTCTATGAATAAATTTTACCAAGAGATTTGTTATGAGTTGATCGTTCACGGTCTTTGACCTAAATTCGGGGATGTCAGATTACCTCTCCGTTAAGAGAATTTCGTCCCGAAATTATTATGTTCTAGAATTCTTTGTTCCACTATCATTTTGTTCTACTAGTATTTTGTTCTATTAGTATTTCGTTCCTGTACTGGAGGGAGCACTGTTGAACAATTGCGAATACTTTTGTTTTATTTGATCCTTATGTTTCCAAGTAAACTCTTGCTCTCTACGAGAGTTCTATCAGACCTTTACTATGTGTATGAGGCTTTGTTTTAGGCTTTTGATTTCTCGATCCATGATCTCTACCGATTCCTTCACAAAATGAAGTTTAGTGTTGACCTGGATCTCATCGAGAGGAAAGACAAAGTTCTCATAAGAGAGAAACTTTTGAAATTATATACGTGGGAGGTGGCGTGAACTTTGTTGAGTTCTTAAGGTAAATTTAGTTTGTAAGTCGCCGTACCAACCCTTGACCGGATTTCAAAAGGTCCGATGTAACGAGGATTTAGTTTATCTCGTTTTCCAAATCGAATGACACATTTCCATACAACGACCTTTAGTAGGACACAGTCTCTTACTTTGAATTCTAAGGGTTTATGTCTCGCGTCGGCGTAGCCTTTCTGATTGATTATGTGCAGTATTTTAATCGTTCCATTACCTGAACGATCTCCTGTGTTGGTTCATGAATAATCTCAAGGCTAATGAGTAGAGTATCTACAACATGCTTTATAGCTAGTTGGGTATCTCCAACTTCTCCTCAGCATATCGGAGAACGGCATCTACGTCCGTAAAAGGCCTTGAATGGAACGACCTTTATGCTAGTGTGCTAACTATTGTTATATGAAAAATCAAATAGTGGTGAGTGAGTATCTTATGCATTATCGAAGTTTATCCCACAAGAACGGAGCAGTCCTTCTAAGTTTGTATCGTTCTTTCACTTTGTCCGTCTGTTTAAGGATGATATGCAGTACTCACGTCGAGTTTGGTTCCTATGAACCTTTACAACGATTGCCCGAACCTGGAAGTGAACCTACTATCTTGGTCTAGGGTCCAAATTTTGTTCATGAAATATCGTGTTCTGTCTTCCTTGAGGTCAAACTGTTTGTCCATTCCTCGAAGGTTTTTCTTCCACGATATTCTCGAGTTTGAGTGCTTTTAGCTGAGTATCACGAATTTGGGTGGTGAGATAGGAGTGGGTGGTTAGGGTTAGAGCCTTTACACGAAGAGGCTTTTCTTGCTTTTTCCTTCTTAATGCATCTGCCACGACATTTTGCTTACTAGGATGAATACGAACTTCGCATTCGTAATCATTTAGCAACTTGACATATCTTCGTTATCTCATATTGAGATCCTTCTAATCTAAGATGTGTTAAAGGGTTTTGTGGTCAATGAACACGACACACTTTGTTCTGTAGAGGTAGTGTCTCCAAATCTTTAAGGCCTACACTACATCTCCTAACTCTAAGTCGTGGGTAGTATAGTTGGTCTTGTTTGGCGTGAGTTATATGGATGCATATGCAATGACTTTATTCTTTCTGTATCAGCACGTATCCCAACCCTTGGTGAGAGGCGTCGCGGAATACTACAAAGTCTTTTGTTCCCTCTAGAAGAGACACAATTGGTGCACTGCACAATAATTAATTCAATTTTTGGAAGGCAGACTCTTGTTTGTCTCCCCAATCGAATTTCTTGTCTCTCTGGCTTTATGCGGTGAGAGGCTTGGCTATTTTTGAGAAATTCTCGATGAATCTCCTATAATAGTCTGCAAGCCTTATGAATTGGTGTATTTCATTTGGTGTCAATAGTCAGTCCGAATGGCATATCCAGAAACTTGTAGTGACTGTACCGAGTCCTGAATGCCGTCTTTGGAATGTGTGCTTCTTACACTCTGAGTTGATGATATTTGGATCTTAGATCGATCTTTGAGTAGTAATGGGATCCTTGTAGTTGGTCGAACAGGTTATCGATCCTCGGGAGTGGATATCAGTTCTTGATGGCGAGTTTGTTCAACTCTCGACAGTCGATGCATATCCTGAACGATCCATCCTTCTATTTGACAACAATACCGGAGCTCCTCATGGAGAGAAGTTTGTCCGGATAAAGCCTTTGTCTAGAAGTTCTTGAATTTGACTGGACAGTCCTTGCATTTCAGATGGAGCCAGACGATAAGGAGATCGTGTCGCTGGTGCTGCACCCGAGATTAGGTCAATTCAGAACTCGACCTGTCTGACTGGGGGTACTCTAGGAAATGCGTTCGGGTAATCGCACACTTGCAGCATGTATTTGATTTCCTTACCCTTGTCTGGCATATCCACCACGTGGGCCAAGAAAGCGAAGCATCTCTTCTACAAACACCTTCTTGCCTTCATGTAAGAGATGGTTCTTATATTCCTTCCTAATTTGTCTCTATAAATCAAAAGAGCTTCGTTGTTGGGTATAGGTAGTCGGACGGCTTTTTGTAACATAAAATCTCTGTTTGATGAAGTGATAACCAATCCATTCTGATGATCATATCAAAACTTCCAATGGTGATAGGCATTAGGTTGAAGTGAAGGACATGGTTATTTAGGTCCTTTCTGCAATACTTAGAGGTGTAACCTCTTAAGTTATAGATGTTGTAGACCCTACAATTTCCGACATGGTGAAAATTACACTTGGTATAGTGGGGTAAAGTCCTAGAGTAGGGCTTTGGTTGAGTGGGAGTGTTTGTGATTATAGTGTAATCAATTACAGGTTCTGTACTGGGTTTGCGATGTTTGAAGTTCCCTTTTGACTTGACATGGGACTTCCTTTTTGTACTCCTAATCTGGTTCTTTTTGGTTTGTGGGGTCATGATACCCTGACAGATATACTATTCTGTCAATTGATAAGCCAGTTGCTTAGCACTATCAAAGGTAGTGGGTCTGGATGCAGTAACCGAACCTTAAACTGTGAAGCTAATCCCCAGTTTTACCTTTCGGTATTCTTTTTGTATTCCGGGTTCACCATTCTTGGGTAAAGGTTTGTGCGGTTGTTAAATCGGGAAGTATAGGCAGTCACCTCTAATCTTCTCATGGTAAGCATCCAAATTATAAAGAGTGACTCGAAATCCTACCGATTTCAAATGATTGAGAGAGAAGTTTGGAGATTACTGAATGATCGATTGAGAACTATGGGTTTCTCTGCTACGATGGTAGCTGAGATAGTGGTTCTTTGTTCTTCTTTGGATTTAGGCAAACTAGGAAAATCTAAACGTTATTCCAGATTTTTAAGTATTTTTAAAATGTATACATTTTTTTGGGATTGATATATGGCTTTTAAGGTACTAGGTTTCTGCACCGAATCTTGAGAACATCCTTCAATCTCTAAAACTTTCAACCATTGTAGTCTGTC